ATATACATTCATTCATACCTACCTACAGTCTTTCACGTTTATACTTAAAAGTTTGATTTATCATAACTAACCAATAACCATCAGACGATAAAATATAACTATTCTTGATTTAGTTATGATCCAGAAAAAGCGTAGCTTTGTAGATGAGACACTTTTTAAATTCCCAAAAATTGTAACATTACAAAAAAGTACATCACAAAACAACTTATTATGTTTGTAGTCTTCTGGAATACGATTGGAAGCCACTACCATTGGGTGACACCGCCCGCGCGTCCCCCCCGAGCGGAGGAGGGGGATTGGCCGGGGTGGGGACCCAGCAACGTCGCGCCACTGCACCCGCCGCGCCGCAACCACTGCGTTTCTCACACGGACACTCTCCCACCTATATGGGCATCTGTCTACCCAGAGACCTCATGGAACTGTTTCCTAGGTATGTAACAACGATTTTAAGCCTTTATTTCTATGTTTTTAAAGTTTATTTATTATTGAAAATGGCAATGTAACTTAACATTTGTATCTAATAGAGAATCTGGTTAAAAAGTTACATTGTAGTTTCTTACTCATATTTATTTCTTCATGGGAATTCAAAATCCGCATTGTTTAAAGACGCGCTTGTGGTGTAAATAAAATTAATTATCCGACTACGTTGACGATAGTCACTATAGCCACCGGGTACTGCAATTTAAGTTTCAAATGTGTCTTTTTGTGACTCACTTTTAAAGTTTTTTTGGTGTACTTTGAGTACATCAGAATATACTGATAAAAAAAATTTGATTATGTCATATATTAAATATTTTTACAGAGACGAAGATATAAATGATGAGGACACTGACAAAAGTGATCACACAAAGCGAGATCGTCTGCCATCTTTCCTAGCAGACACTAGTAGTGCGAGTACGGAGAACAAGTCGCGCGCTACACCAGATAGTCAAAAACTGGCTTCTCATAAAGGTAAATTGAACAAAAAAGGAAAGAGGTCAACTTAAGTGATCTTTGGTATATTTCTGTAATGAATTTCGACTTTAAATAAAAAATAATAAACTTGAATCTCGGGAGACTTCATGTTTATTATAGCATGTAAACATTCTTAATTCGTATAAAAATATTGTTACAGCCAGTTCAACCACAATAGCAGCTCAAATTCACAGAATGAATTCGGAGAGAGCGGACACTAATGCAGACACATCAATCACTAGTGAAACGTGTGAAACAAACTCTCGAGGAACCAAAGACAGAACAAAACGGGTTGTCACCACAGTCAATGCAGACGACACTGGAAATAAAACACCTAACAAACTCGAGAAAATAGTTAATGAAAACACAGATAGTACAAGTACGGGTATAGAGGCACAGGATACGGGTCAAGTAAATCAAGATCCAACTGGGATTAAACCTGTCGAGGGTGAGAATGTGCCTCCAAGCGGTACAGGGGGTACGGATGGCCCCGTGAGCGTTGGTTCTGCCTCTTCTAGTAAGAAGTGGAGACACATTTCAGCTGAGTGTCTTGCGTGCGTACGGACCCGTCCTCCTTCGTCACATGAGCTACGCGAAGCTTTCTTTGCTGGTAAGAATCCTGATTACCTAAAAATAAAAACGCCTTTAATTTTAGATATTATGGCTTTTATTAGAAAAAAATATGCCTAAAACATACAATATTTCTTTGTAGGCATGGATGTTTCTGGTGTGTACACGTCGGAACCGCGCAGTCCGACCAACGAGAAGCCAACAGTCGATCGCAACTCTGGCCCACAAGCAGAATTGTTGCATCAAATACATTTCATGTCCAACCCTATACATTTGAGACAGGTAATGATTTATTTAGTACTGTTAAACAACAATGCATATTACAGCTTTAATTTTAATCAGTGTAACGTCTTTTACCATACCTCAATATATAGCATTTTTTTTCTTACAGGCTCGTTCCGTGCTTCTGTCGATGAAACAACGCCACCCAGAGGTATTTCGTAGTCCGTGTGTATATTCTGACGTTAGTGCCTTACTGGCAAGAGATACATACATGTTGTGCGCGCGACGATTTGTACAGGAACTATTCCTTGATACTTGCTTCGAATGTTTCGCTTCGGAGCCACTTGCAGTGATGGCGCGTCATGGCGTAGCGTCTCCATCCGCGAGTGTAGCGCCCTCTATACGCCAATAGTATTTCGATGATAGCAATCTTGCAAGGTAGCGGATTCTTATTTATGTAAAAATATATATTTATGGACACCATTGCGAAAGTATTTTCTTTCACGTTTAAGTGTTTTTCTGCTTTACTTTCTTGATAAGGTGCAGAGTATTTAACGTTGAATTCGACATGGTCGCCAATGAATTTTTGACGTTAACATTTTTTTTAGTCTTGTGTGAAAAATTTAAAACACGAAGACCATATTCATGTGCGATACACAGATTTAAAATGAAAATAACGAAATTATTACTGTACTTGAGACTTGATATTATTTTTATACAAACTATTGTAACGTGGAACGCATTGTTTTGCGCGTTGTAAATATTTACAAGATTTGTCCAGCTTTAGTAGTAGCTCGTCACCTCACACGGTCCTCTACGACAACTACTAACTTCTTACTTTATGCAGGTTTCGGTAATTTATAAGGAACTAATTTAATTTAGCTTTTTTTCTGATTTACTGTTATTTTATTTTATAGCACTTGTATGGATTTGAATTAATATTATAGCACTTTAATATACTAGATAGGTTACCCTAAAATATTAATGTAAAAACTAGTTATCTACGATTTAACGTTACACAACAGTCTTCAATTAGTATTAGAAGTTATTGTTGCAGTTATACATGTAAAATAATGCTATTTATATTATTTTATAATGTAGGTCTTCCGATATTATCGGATGGATATGAAAATATAATTATGCGCTTTTGAAAAGTGTGCGTAGGTTTTTTAAATCTATAAGTTTTCGTTTATAGTAAGTATACAGTATATACTTGTATATCATACAAGTAATTATTACTATGTATATAGAAATATTTGTTTAGCAAGGTTTTTAATGCACGTGGGATAACAGTATGCCCTTTTTTGATGGCCTTTGTATAGATTACGAGTTTATACAATTTTATATTTTAAAAACAAACAATGTAAAAATTCTGTTACACTTATAAAAACTATTAGATAATAGTAATATTAAAGGCCCTGTGTCATCCCATGTTCATGGAAAATCTAGAGAACGCAAGCAAATAACACTACTAGCACAATAGACTAACTGTAACATCCCTAAATAAACATAATTGTAGCTTTATAAAAGTGTATCAATATCAATGCCTAACTAATTATGTAAATGGGATAAATTCCGCTAATTGCCAACATCTTATTAACTATCTACAATTGAATAATCGAAATGTGAAAATGCCGAATTTCTGTTTTTCTAACATGTGTTTTAATTTATTTTGTATAAGCACCTGAATTGACGTGATTGCCTTAATGTTATTGTTTAGTGAAATAACGAAACTATAAACTTGCTAGTCTCACACAATGACAATAGTTACTGACCCAGATGACTGAACATTGCATCATTCCCACTGAATCCAATAGTTTATTATAGTGTACCTATTCACCAATCCCACCTGATACAACGATACGATATGTTCCCTAGTTTGAAGCATATTATTGTAGTTATAAATACATACTACAACCTTGTGTTCATTATTGTACTAAAGTCTTATGTTTGCATTTAATAGTACTTGTTTCTCTTTTTCATTGTTGTTATTTATGGAAACTCGATCGGAATAGCAATTTAGTTTTACGTTACATGATATTATAAGTATTAATACAGAGCACGCCGGATGTCACATACGACTGTTTGTTATGTAATCCTTTGTTAATGTTCAATAATAGTGTGTAATCTGTAGTAGAAGTAAGTTTTCATACCACTCGTGGATTGTTATTGAAGAGTAAAACTGACAGACGCAGCAGTATTTATAGAGGGAAGTTCTTGTATGCTAACTAGTTAATTAATTTATGCATCCTCGATATCCTGCATTTATGAGACTGTAACATTTAATATGAATATCAAATAATCACCTCGTTTTATCTGCTACTCTCCTGTTAAATACTAGTTCTAAGAGTTCATTCTGATAACGAATAAAAATAAAACTGTAATTTTCGAAATTCGTAATTGCATATCGAAATAATTTATCTAGATTCCTTAGTAAACGAATGAATACGAAAAAAGTGCCATCGTGCTGGTTCCTTTCAATTATATTAACATGTTACATTACTCTTAAGTACCAACCTTCTATTATGCCACTTCATTACAATAAATATATTTTATAAAGTAATAATGTGTTTCATTATTGGATAAAAGTACAATATTCCATAGTATTGATAGAAATACATTCTAAGCGAGGGCGGGGCAACACTAGTCCAACGCCATAACTCGCCACCCTCACAAGGTCGGGACGGTCAGGATGAGAAAAACTGTTTCGGGCGCTTTGTGCTGCTGAAAAGCCGATTCCTTTAATTATAATAGTTTGTTCATATTATATAATTGTGTTTTCTTGCTAGTATGATTAGAACAATTTCAATTTGTAGGTACTTACGTAAATTGTGAATGGAAATTTACAAAAAAAACTAAAACTATGAATACGTGGATGACTTTTTTATTTATTTAGATTATGATACTCTTAGGTTCTTTGTCAAGTTTTTACATAAAAAGAATATAATTATAAGTACACAGAAATAAAAATACATAGCCTAGTGTTTATTGCAGTTGAAAAATAATAGGTACAAGTTACACAATGGCCATAATTAATTATGTACCTTGGATCCATTCAGCTATCTATTTGAAGCCTCTATAAATCATATTTAAGTAACTACCTATTTACTCTTTTACGTATCATACTTGTATAAATAAATAATAATCAGATATATCTAGGTACCTAATTATAGCCAAATTTTAACACTGATTGTCCATTACTTAATTTCTATTTTAGTTTATACATAATCAATTTTTATTTATCATATACGTATATATCCTATGACTCTTATAACGATGTTATGAATTCAACCATTCTACAAATTTACTAAACAATTTAAGCGCTACTTTCACAATTCTGTCCCAGAACCCTGGCTCCTCTTCCTCGTGTTGGCTGGTTGCTGTGGGGTACTCATCGTCGAAATTTTCCAGTTGCCTTTTCTCTCGATGGATATCTTCGATACTGTCAAAATCAGCTGAGAATAAAAAAAAAAAACAATTATTTAATGGTAGTATTTTAAGACACTGTATTATTACAACGATAGAGATAGATATATCACAGTCTAAAATAAAATCGATGTGAAGCAAAGTATAACTAAGGTCGCTGGAGGATGAACCCCTCCAAAAGGTCGGTAGCGCATTTGTTGTAAATCTATGAAAACGCTTCTTTTGAATATTGTACCAGTATCACATTTTGTTACGGTAGTAAAAATAAAAAAAGTTGTTTGTTATCATCTACCAGTCACACTATATAAATTTAGGATATTGGAATAAAATATTATATCAGAGAGATTGTTACAAAACAAAGAATGATAAAAATCGAAGCAGAAGATCGAGAATCGATTAAATGTTGACCATTTAAATATGTTTCAATTTGGAAATGTTTGAATGCTTGTGGACTTAGAATCGGAGTGGTAGTCGCGCGGTTTCATGTCTAGACCAGTCTTACCAAACAAACGATATCTAAATATTGTGATTTTTAGCAGACTTCAAGGCGACCTGGCTCTTTGAGTTGAGCAGTAAGAGTTATATTAAACCTACAAAAGATTACTTACATAAAAAACTAGGAGAATCAATTGCGATCTGTAACAAAAACACTATGGTTAACATTAATTTCAATATCAACGCGTTATAAAGGCTTGACTTTAGGTAGGTAGAACAGATGACCTGATATTCCAGTATCTAAATACTTAATATGTATCAATAGATAGAAGGTTCATTGGAGGCTGCATAACTTGAGTAGGGATCTACTTACAGAAACACTTAGTAGGTTCTTGTGTCTTGAATTGCAAAAGTTTGCAGGAAAAATAATAATTGTTAACTGCTAACTTATAATTAAAGGCTTGTCCTGTCACGAAGGCTTGTTTTAAAGATAATAGGCAGAATATTTATTAAGTAACGCTACTTAACGTGTCCGTTACCCAGGCCAGATGTTGTCGACAATGGTCATTTGAATCTTATAGGTAATTAGTTGTGCGGCTTCTGTAATTGTTGCGCACATTTTTAAATTTGTTGCGCTTATAGTTTTTTAATTATTTCACAAAAACATTTCCTGCTGGCGTAACGTTACCACAGCCAGACCTTTTTCTTTCTAATGGGAATATTTAAATAAATATTAGCTATAAAATTAGTTGTCTAGATAAAGTAAATGTTGTGCCTTATTTTGTATTTGTTCTTTCTTCGGTTGCAAAGTTATTCGAGATTTTGCTGCGGTAACGTTTTTGGTTTTGCTAGATCTTTGAAATGGTTAAGCGGATTCTTATCACATTTTGTACACGACTTCCAAATACTTAGTTTAAATTTGTGGTGCATTAACAAAACCAAAATAATGCATATTTTAAAGGTTTTTTCATTAAATAGAAAAACACTTCAATTGGCACCAGCACTCCCAATAAGAAGTCGAAAGACTTACTTCAAACGTAATTTTAAAGCTTGTAACTGCCTTCAAATGTAGGTATGTGAAGTTTCATTAGTATCCCGTAAGTATTTAACAAGTTATGATGATATTCAGTTCTTCACGAGCACGGTCTTAATGCACGCGGTGTTATTTGGCCACTGGCTTGGATATATGAACTGAATATTATGTCAATGATTAGTTGTTTAGATCAGTTGTATGTCAGTAAAATTTTAGCTCAATACATTGGATAATTAATGAGATAATATATACTATTACAGTCATTAGGAAGTGAATGACCGTGGTAAGCCGACCAAGTTTAGGTGGTTACGAAAAAGCGAAAACGCAGAACTTTATGGTACCTTCTAAAATATGTAGGATAGTGTTATAAATTTAGTACAGACATGTACAAAAGTTTAAAAAAAAACTACATGATTATTCAAGATTTTTTATTGAAAGGTAAAATAATCATTTCAATTGAACTTTTACTCCCTTACTTATAAAAACTTGTGTTGCTTAGCAACCGATTAAACATCACCCGTCCTTGTCATTTCTATTTCAAAATGCAGTTCAAAAATCATCTAAAAGGTTACAAAAGTAACCTTTTGTCAAGACTGAGTGCGTTATGCAAACAATGTATTACCAATTCACCCCACTCCTCCTGCGTCCTACCGAACGGCATGCTCTAGCGGTGATTTTTGATAATTTTGTGGAACTGGAAGATAATGTTTTCTTTTATATTATTATTATATAGGTAATTTTCAGTGTACGCGTCTGTACCAAAATTGTAAGGTGTATTATACTAAACATTTCAAAAGATAGTACAATGTTCTGCGTTTTCGCTTTTTCGTAACCACCTAAACTTGGTCGGCTTACCACGGTCATTCACTTCCTAATGACTTTAATAGTATTATCTCATTAATTATCCAATGTATTGAGCTGAAATTTTACTGATATACAACTGATCTAAACAACTAATCATTGACATAACATTCAGTTCATATATCCAATCCAGTGGCCAAATAACACCGCGTGCATTAAGACCGTGCTCGTGAAGAACTGAATATCATCATAACTTGTTAAATACTTACGGGATACTAATGAAACTTCACATACATTTGAAGGCAGTTACAAGCTTTAAAATTACGTTTGAAGTAAGTCTTTCGACTTCTTATTGGGAGTGCTGGGGCCAATTGAAGTGTTTTTCTATTTAATGAAAAAACCTTTAAAATATGCATTATTTTGGTTTTGTTATTGCACAACAAATTTAAACTAAGTCCTCGGAAGTCGTGTACAAAATATGATAAGAATCCGCTTAACCATTTCAAAGATCTAGCAAAACCAATAACGTTACCGCAGCAAAATCTCGAATAACTTCGCAACCGAAGAAAGAACAAATACAAAATAAGGCTCAACATTTACTTTATCTAGACAACTAATTTTATAGCTAATATTTATTTAAATATTCCCATTAGAAAGAAAAAGGTCTGGCTGTGGTAACGTTACGCCAGCAGGAAATGTTTTTGTGAAATAATTTAAAAACTATAAGCGCAACAAATTTAAAAATGTGCGCAACAATTACAGAAGCCGCACAACTAATTATCTATAAGATTCAAATGACCATTATCGACAACATCTGGCCTGGGTAACGGACACCTACTTAACTACTTTTTTATGGGGTGGAAATTTTTATATGACTCCTCTCAACTTGGGGCAAGTGCGAGTGTTGGCCTCTTACTGACAAAAAGCCCTCCGTTTCTTCATCTGCTCCAGACCGGGGCCGCAGTATACTTAGGTAAGTAGGTAGGTAGGTGCTTGACTCGGAACCCCGGGTGACCCCGAACTACTACTACTATGTAAGTACATACATACATACATACCTTATCATCTAAAATCTATTATATATAATCTAAAATATATACATATATAGAATTAATTATCTATCTAATAAGAACCTTTAAACGAACGATGTGCTTAACTTTGACAGGTGCCCGACGGATCCCATCGGAAACGGTCCAAAGATTTTGATAAAAAATGTGTTTTTGGGGACTAAACGTCAATTACTTCCAAAAATACGTTAAATTCAAACTATAGACGGCTAAACAATATTTAAATGAATTAAATGTTTGAAATAATTACACATTGAAACTCACTTGATATGCCAATACACAGGAATAAAATAAAGATGAAAGAGCGACGGTCAGCAGTATGGACCTCATGTCTTCGGTTTCTGTGACCACTTTGATTCGCCATGACTGTGAACTTGGCTTTTATACGAGGGCGTGGCTTCGCTTGATTGTGGCGGAAAATCATGATTTGCAGTATCATCACTACTATAGTAATCATTCACAGCCCTTTTAGGGTTCCTTATTAGAAAACGAAGGTAGTCGGCTGCACGCCCGTAACTTATTTTGTAGTTTATAGCTTAAGTCACAAAATTAGAGAGACAGATTGATTAAAAATGCGCGAAAGATCAAGAAAAGGAAATAGGTAGCCAATTTAGTTTTTTTTAGTTTCCTTACTTCACAATTTCCAGTTGCTGACCGACTATCTCGCCTGATAAAAGAACTTCCACTAGTATCAAGAAACATGACACTGTTCACTAAAACATACCTAATCCTTTTCTCATTATTAGTTTATAGACATATTCACTTAAACCCTTGTTAGTGAGGGTAAAATCTTGCTCTCTTGCATTCGAATGATTCATATGAATGCAAGAGAGCGGTAACCGGTTGTCGCTTAGGGTTTGAGTGAACGGCGTAGTGCGTAAGATCCGGCAACCGGTTACCGCTTGGAGTTTGAAGGGTTAATATTAGGATTACTTATGAGGACACTATTGTAGAACCATGTTAAGAATAGCTAATGCAAGAAAATAATACACTTCATTAAAAAATACGCATACAAATATAAAATGTCATATACTTACCTACCTACACGCGTCACTTCCAGATCCAGAACAACAATTTGGATGGATCATCCTGTGAAAAGCAGGTGGTGAATGTAGATAACATTCACCTATTTAACAAATTATTATTATTATTCTCCCACACTGTAAAGCAAATTTAGCTTAGCAGTGATACGATTTAGTTTTCAAAATCATAATACTTATGCATACTTAGGTACTGACCGACACAACCGTTAACTTAGGTTGTAATTACGTCGTTATTTTTTTCTGAATCTATATGATCAGAATCACCCTGGACGCACAAAGTGTTGTTCCGTGCAAGAATCGAACTAGCGAAAAGTTACCTACACAGCATCCAGTTGCTCAGTCACTGCACCGACCGTGTAGTCATAACTGCTATTGTGTAGGTAGATGCTTAATTATATACCTGGGTAAGCAATTAATTGCATGCTGCAGTCCAAGTGTCCAGCAATTAACAAAGAGTCATCAAAGCCTTATAATTGATTGTTAACAATTTTAATAAGTATAAGAAACCTGATTTATTTTGAACCGAAATACTGCTGACGTACCTAAGTATATATTTTTTTACTGGAACCCACTTTGTGGATGCATTGTATGGTTTCTGTGAATAGCTTGTTACACTTGGTAAAGTTGTGTATGTAAGGTAATTACATGTGTAGTTAATAAATATTTACCTATCTAGTTCCAAAATCTCTAATTTATTACCTAACCTACCTACGTAGTAATTTATGAATAATGGTAATGACGGTTTATTTTTTCCAATTCATAAGTAGTATCTAACTTATTTCGATATAATTTTGATCAGTAGGTAACATAGGTAGGTATAGGTACCAACATTGTTTAGGAGACGAACTTAAGGGAACCATATTTTGTGGTTACATCCGTACCTAACCAATTTCATGCATGAGGTTGGTATCTACCTAAGAACCACGGAAGCATATGAGTTTATTTTTGGCATCGTGTCAACTAGGACTCATCATCATCATCATTAGCCTATACTTAAGTGCCCACTGCTGAGTAAAGGCCTTCTCTCATACGGAGAAGGTTTGAGCATTAATCACCTCGCTTGCTCTATGCGGGTTGGCGATTTCAAACTGATAGGTACTTAATTAGAAATTATAAGTTCAGTATCCTCACGATGTTTACCGTCACCGTATAATAGTGGTGTCTAAATAATCATAGAAAGTACATATAAACTCGGAAAAAGTCCCATTGGTACTTGCCAGGGTCGAACCCACACCCTCATGCATGAGAAGCGGGCTCCTTAACCTCCGGGCCACCACAACAGTTTGTCAGTTGTTTAGGACTAACTCGTGCAAATTGCAAAATTTTTTTTTATTGCTAAAACACAGTTTTTCGTAAATATTATCCGCCATTGGTGATTGGCGCCACAGGCGGACATTGACCCAACTTTTTGAAATACTACCGTCTGCCAATTTTGAGCCAGTAACACTTACCTACCTACATTACTAACATGTTTTACCTTGATATTTTAGTAGGAACACGTTGAAGTGTCTCATAATCATGTTAATCGATTGCCAAATGGAAGCCTTGTTTGGACTGAATTATACTATCATTGAATAACGGTATCTAATATAGAATATTTCTTATATCTTATGATAAATTGGGTCGAAGTTAATTCTAGCCATAATTCCAGTTCTTCATAATAAGTTAATCATCTAAGAAGATTGCTAGACACTCTACTTTGGAGTTCGTAGTAAATAGGCTACGTAACGTATGTTTGTAGATAAAAGGTTAACTTATGCTTATCTATTTTTACACCAAAACCATTTCTCTGATATGCTTTCTTCTTTTATCTACTTAAACTAACGATTAGGTAGGTACATAAAGTGCGATAGTGCTCATTGTTAGGAAGTAAATTAAATACAATTAATAATTATTAATTTTAATGTCGTCTGTACCCACACATAAGATTGTGCTGCAGATACTTTGTGTTTTCATTACCTGGAGTGACCTTGTCGATTCAGTTGCAGTTCTGCATGAAAGCATACGTACAATAGCGCATTGGACACTATGTATCACAGGCGTGGACTCGCACGGAAGTGACGAGTCATCGCCACGTAATAATTTGATTGTATATGGAAATGGACAGTACTTACTTAATAGTTGTTTATTTTGTAGCGACATCTATCGCACAACATTGACAACAGCACCAATCATATGCAAGTTTCTACATCGCGCTATAAGAATTTACAACACAATTAGCACTGATACAAAAATCCCGACAACAACCGTCGGGCTAGCCCACCAGGCACGAACACCTCGCCTGGTTGGAGGATCCTCCCTTTCCAATTGAGGATGAGGAACTTTCCACCATGTTCCTCATACCTCCAAAATTTACTTACTATAAATTGTTATTATAAAACAATTTGATGATTGACCGGATTTAATGTTAATATACTGTACGGCTTACAGTAACTACTTTCGTAATGTATAACTGCCTAAAATAATCAGTATTGGTGAATTATGTATGCACCTAACAGTGGTCGGTGTCAGACTCTTACTGACTAAAAACGCCCCCGTTCCTTCTTCTGCTCTAGGCCGAGGTTGCGGTGCTTCATTGCGCTTACGCCGCAACCCGGCTAAACATCAGCCCTATAAGGCCCCGCCTGTGGTGGGGCCTACGCACCGTACTGTTGTCTACCGTTGCCCACATTTAAAGCACCCAGCTTTAAATGTGAAATAGTAGAATAGTCGAGAAATTCATCATTATCATAAATGTCATCATCATCATCATCATCATCATCAGCCTATAAGTGCCCACTGCTGAGCAAAGGCCTCTTCTCACACGGAGAAGGTTTGAGCATTAATTACCACGCTTGCTCAATGCGGGTTGGCGATTTCAAACTTATAATTATAATTAGAAATTATAAGTCCAGGTTTCCTCACGATGTTTACCTTCATCGTATGTCAATAGTGTCTAAATAATCATAGAAAGTACATATAACTTCGAAAGTCACATTGGTACTTGCCAGGTTTCTAACCCACATCCTCATACATGAGAAGCGGGCTCCTTAACCTCCGGGCCATTATGAGTATTTTTTACTTTTAACTCGAGAAATTACCCAGTTAAATTTGTCCAACGTGGCTCGAACCCTTGCTCAGTGTTTGGCAGGTTTGTAACCACTGGCCCACCAAAGTAGGAACCTATATTTAATTAATTTGAGTATTCGATTGATTGAAAAATAAGAAACATTACTTATCCCATATAATCTCATCAATATTTATCTAGAGAATTCCGATAATGAATTCCAAATTTTCATTAAAACTGAGAATAATAATCAAACTGCAATTGCTCGTAATAGTTAGGTCATTGTTGACGATAGAAAAGCAGATATACGCGAGACAATGTCCTTACTATTGCGTTTCACATATATAGAATTACATATAGCACCAAATCACTGTCATCATCAACACTAATAACGTAACAATTAAAAGGATAACTCCAAAGAAGTGGAACCGGACTCTTCAAATTAAGAAAATATTGCTTCATATCAAATCAATTTTAATAATGTATTGTATTATAATATACCCTTAAATCACTATGTATGTACTATTTTTTGGACCCTCCAAAACCGGAAAATCCCATTATTTGAGCAAGTTCCGATTGTGCTGGGCTGTCTTCCGGTTCCTCAGACTCCATGAGCTTGCGTTTCTTGTCACGACGTCTCTCACGACGTTGCTCTTTGATTCTTGCTTCTTCCTCCGCAGCCTCCCTTAGCCTAGTGTCGAGCTCATATTCACGTTTCTTCTCTTCTAATTTACGTTTGTTCATTGCAAACCGGGCTTTGACCTGGAATTGAAAGCAAAAAAAGAAATTATTTATTTATTTATTTAATAATTTTTGTACACACAGTAAGTTGGACAAGAAAAAGAATACAACAATTAGGTACAAAGGCACAGCTTATTTATTATTGTTTATCTCTATACTTTTATTAGACAGATTCTTACATTTTATATAAAAAAAACTTTTTACAAAAATAATAAAAAAGGAGCATCCCATCTAGGAGGGGTCCTAGCTACCAGAGGTTGTAAGGGCCCCAAAAAAGGTATAGCCCGATAATACGCGCCGTGACCAGGATACTGCTTTGTGCATCAGGGTCTTGACCCAACCACCTAATATAAGAATAATCAGATGCTATTAACAGACACGACTATCGGAACAATGATTGCTGAGTTCACATGCCACACCCCAGTAATGACACAAACTAAATCAAGATATTTATTATTATCTTCATCAGCTTTCAAGAGATTTACAAGGTCAGTTTTGTTGGCTACAATTGTCTTATCAGAGATGATAGTTCAATACAGTGTAACATCTTCATTTTTGAGAAATACCATAATTACCTATGTATAGCTAGTCAGATACAACAAGTTTATAATTATAAGATTTATTCACTAGCAGCCTGTTAGGGAATAGCAAGGTGAGAAGGACCTGAAATTTTATGTTAGTTTCGCATTGATGTGTCTGACAAATGACAGCTATTCAATCCTTTATTAACTTTGACATGTATCCTTTTAATATTTTGTGCTTAGAACTTAATATTTAGTCTTTTTCCAGTTCTCATTAAGTAAGAAGTTAGTTGTAAAAGCTTTAAAAGGTGTAGGTCATTAAGATTTTTTACATCAATGTCATTAAATGAAAACATAGTAAGGAAAGGTGGAACTATAATTATATTTTAATAATTAAGGCATAAACATTGCAACACCCTAGTGTGTGTTAATAAAACACACAAAACACTGATACCGGAACAACAATTTGTGGATCACACAAAAAGTTTTTTAGCCACCATGCCAACCGTGCTGCCAATGTCAGAAGTTAGCTATGGTGCTATATGCTTGTTGCATGTTCACACCTTCATTGTTAAGAAAAGGATTTTACGCAGCAATGGATATTTCTTGGCTGATGACAATATTAATGAAATGCTAATTATTAAGAGTACCAAGTAGAACCAATCTAAGGTATTATAGTATAACAATATATCTTAACATCATCAGAGAAGAGTTAATTTGTTCTAGATAAAAGAGTTTTGGATTTAGTTAAGGCTTGGCGGTAACTTTATGCTAATCCAACATATTGTTTATTGAATTGGCCTTATTGGAGAGTTATACTATTTAGGTAGGATTGAGTGTAAATACTTAGGTCATTGGATCCTTCTTGAAATGTTCAAAGTTATAATGTTTACAACTTATTACAATAGCTCCTTAAAAGAACCTGTTGATATTGATAAGAAAGGTACAAACCTGATCTAAGGAACTCCTTTCAATCTTCATGGACATGCCAAGATTCCTCTGATGTTTCTTTCCATTGATATGGTCCAGAAAGTTAATAGAATCTTTGACAACACAATCACAGACATTGCAGTAGTAACCTCCAGACTGTGAGGTAGGTGTATTCTTTGTGATCACAACACTTTTGCCAAGCTTTGAATCTAAGTCAACCTTGTAGTCTCGTTGTTTGAGAAGTTCTCTTTTCACAGGTGGAGCTGAAAGAACAAGATCAGTAATTTAAGAAATCTGTTGATTGGGTATTATTTATAGGAAAATACACATTAGTCAATTCCTTCCTTTTCAATGATTTCCCATTTGGAATTTAATTTTGTTCTATTGACACGCATGGCATTTTACATATTTATTTTAGTAAAGATGATTAATGTGTAACCTTTTTTCGTTAATAAATAACATAAATGTAGACATTTAAACCTTTTAACGTGTTATATGTTGTCACTATTTGGATGTTAGGCTTACGATGACGCAGTAAAGCGATTGTCTCTCTGGTTAAGCCGTCCTACAGGATAGAAATCAGGATTTTACCCAAATGTTAAATTGACTATTATATAATGCTTAACAGTTCACATACCTTTTTTCTTAGCTCGTTCCTCTTCCTCTATTTCAGCTTTTAAACGATCTGCAGCGATTCTCTCGAATTCGTCTTTGTCCCATTTTCTACGGTGATCTTCTGGTCGCAAACTCATCTTGGTGGAATTTAGTGTGTTTTATAACCTACAGAAACTTTGGATTATTAATATTATCTTTGTGTAAAGTTATAGTTTATTAAGTTCACTATCAAATAGTCCCAGTAAATAATAACACGAGTGCTATGGTTATGGGTGTCAAACCATTTGACACATTGATAGGGATGTGTAAAATAATATTGATTTTCCAAATAGTCCATTAAATACGGATGAATGAGATTAAAAAAATTCTGATTGCAATGATTATATTAACCAAATTTTGATATTTAAAATAATATTGTATTAATTAGTCCTATGCATTAAAATACTATTGCGACAATTTAGATTTATTTTCGGCTTGTAAATTTTAATGTTATTCGAGTGCATAAATAATGAATAATTTAAGACAAAGAATTGTGTTAATGAAAATCGATACTTTCCCATCTCTATACATGGACAAACGTCAATGAGTTGTCAAAGACAACAAGCTATAGGCAAAGGTTATAGGTATATCGTCTATGTTTTTAGTCTATGGTCTCCAATTGGTGGATTTTTATATATAAATAAAGCTGTACTATTATTCTTATCTTGTTGAAAAGTTACTTAAATAAAAGCGAATTATCAAAACAGAGATCAATATAAATTTATGAAATTCATTCGGTAAAAATACTGGACACATTTTGTAGATGGCGTTAGGTACTAGTTCTTAATCATTCGACTTGAAGTCCAAACTCACTAATAGGTAATTCATTTACATTTAGCGATATTATTTTAAAACGATTTAATACACTATGGTACAACAGGAGACTTTCACAATTGAGGTAAGAATTTTATCTTACCTCAATTGTGTATATAAATACAGTAAGTAGATTTAAAGACCTTTCTGGATTTTGCATTATCACAATACCAACAAAGTCATCATCATTACTAGGAACATTTATCAATACCGGGTTCTCGGGGTAATTTATACCTACTAGGGATGCAGGAATGTTGGCTGGGCTGCTCCTGATGAGGTAAACTGACGTCATTACGAAGGGAACGGGAAAAACTGATGGGTGTAATGACGCTCAACGCTGAGTGTCCAATAAAAAGAGTTGATGAGGGACCGACAGTTCTGTAACGCTACGACAGAAATGTATTAGCTTTAAATACAATTTAATCGATTGGTACTTGCTTATTGGAAGGGCGTTTTGTTACGCGTTTAATCTTTCTTTAGCTTAGAGGCTGTAGGACCTAACATCACAATGAATATTTTCAAACACATTGAGACAATAATTATAAATATAGTTTAAGTGTATCTCCCATCCGTATACGAATTTGAAAAGTTATTTAGGATCATTTACTCATATCGGGATAAAACAAGAGAAGCGATCTTCGATGAAATATTATCTCTTCGAATAAGTAATGTGGTCTACTCAAATCGCTTATGTATCATACAATCGTACTTATTAATAATTATGTTATTGTGTTACGAAAACGTGTAGGGAGAACTTTGGATTGCCATTCAGATTGCTAGATCAGGTTAAGACGTTTTCATTCTATTTATATTAAAATAAGTAATAAATTAAGTAAGGTATTTTTGGTATTAATTATTTAGGTCCATTCATTAGAGAAGCAGCGTATTGTAACGTTAATGCAATCGACACGTTTATGACGTTCGCCGCTCCAATTGGCCTACTCCCGGTTAATCAACCAATCACAGAGCAAAATGCAGTAGATAATGTTTCAATAGCGTTGCCGTACGAAAACTCCCAACACGCACTTAGATGATGCGCGAAGCGATCGATGAGAATGGTTAACGGACATGAGAAACGTTAGTTTTAAGTGCACTTTAAGTATTATAATAATAACATGATACAGATTGTAAATAGTTTGATACTCAGTACCGCATATAAGAGCGTCTTGAGGAGCGGGGGTCTCCGGTAATCTCGATCATACGACAAAACCAACTTTAATTTTTTTTGCACTCTTACCTACAATTTTTAAAATTAGCTACATCAAATAGCGTTTTTAAATATCAAGTATCTAATAAAAATGTGTCTGTCATTCTTTTGTTGAAGCTATTTACCACTACGTATGCGAATATTGACATAATTCGTCACTGTGTGTATGTTTAAATAAAATAGTGGTTCTCATAGACAAGCGTGGGTTAATGGGACACGATTTGGGACAAGAAGCCTGACGAAGTGGCGTCATGAAGGGAATGAGCGTGGCCGCCCGACCGTGACACATGGCACGACTATAATATTATTATGACGAGAAATTTCTTCATTTCGCCCTTTTTGCCGGCGTGATAGCAGTTATCTATCATGTGTCTCGTTTTTGCTGTGAGTATAATATAAAGTTAGTAAAAATATTTTCCACTAACACATTTTTGTTCAATTAATCAAAGGACTTTTCTAATAAAATGTGAAATAATTTAGTCGATTTTATGAAAGTCCTGGGCGTCGTAATCACATAGAGGCGAAAAGCTACAAACGATCTCGATTAAAATATAGTCAACAATAAATCAAAATTATAACGAATAAAAAAAAAACCGGGTGAAGGTTACATTGTTCTACAAGTGTACCTACGCCAAGCTACTGATACGCTACGATACCCCTACGTTGGGGCTATGTCGACAAGTTAGTTCTTATGTTAGGAACTAAACCAAAGAATATTAAAATGCAACTAAACGAAGTGTTTATTCTTGGGCGCCTGTGTCGACAAAAGTATTTGGCGTTATTGGGATTGAGTCTGCGATTTTTAATTTGTTTAGATAGGTATTCTAATTATTAATTAGGTACATGTAGGTAACATGCCTAATAATACCTATGTGTACCTATTATGAAAACGTAAAAATGCCTTTTATTTCCTAAAATGTATGAAATTATACATTCATTTGTCAGTAAAGCTTTTTCTAGGAAAATTGGTTCAAAGTTTAAACCCCCATAACATCATGTTTTAAATGCCAATTTTGTTACAGGTACCTATAAAATAAAATGTCTATCTTTTTTATGACATTATATCTCAACGCTTAACGTAAAGCGATTTTACAAGGCTTTATTTAGTTTTTTTGCAGTCGCTTTCAATGTAAATTGCATCGGTCCCGTGAGGGTAACACTGGCTGAGAGCCGACGGGAAGGGTGGAGCGGTGGAGCGATCCGACACACGTCGACTGTGTGACAAATTGACTTCACCAAACAAATTGGCACAATTTTCTTTACACGTCATCACCTTAACAGTCATTGAGCTAACGCTAAATCGGCGGTTCTTAACGTAAAAAGCAGCTTTTCCAGAGCATAAAGGGAGCCATTATAAAGATGAGTTCGTAAGTAGACTCCGGGATACTTTGTGACTTGGATCCATGTTCCAGTTAATGTGTGTAAGCCACCGCCGTTATTTATCACCACATCGTTTACTAAGGTCTACTTATTTTAGGGTATATTTCAAATAACGGTTGGTGTATTTCCAGAAGTCAATTACGTCGGGGGAAATTTTCAAGTGGGGATAGTGAGGGACTGACAAGTTATAATGGATATAATCTAAGGTCGAATTGGTTTAACAACATCGAAACGGCAGTAATGTTCGGTGAACTGTGTAAATGTAAAACATGTCACTAGGGATTTGCACGAGATGTCTAGGTGTTGCGGACGGTTTCGGATCGAGCCGGAGCGGCGCCCCCGGCTGTTTCTGCTTCAATAAATCATCTCTATGTTACCTTCCACCGTATAATGAACTTCGATTGTTTCGTTGAATATTAATAACTATATGAAGCCCTGAATGTACCTATTTACATATCTCGCTACGTACATACGTCGATAACCGGTACTTCAGTTAAGCTGGCAATAATAATGGCTTTTATTAAAATTTTACCTGATGTTAAAATCCAGCGCGGGTTCTATTTTTAGTTTGATTTTATTTTGATGAAACAATGTTACTGCCCAGATTATTATTTTTTGTCAGATTTTCATCGTGCATAGCTAAATTTAAATTTAGAAATTTATAACCTGCTCGAATTTTATTGTACAATATTTAATCGATTATATACCTAGGTGGCTTACTAACTGGTGACTTTTTATAACAAAAACAACGTGCATGAATAATGACACAAACATTTTGGACTAACTGCAAAGCTTTGGTATGATAGATCAATACTCTAAACTTGATCATTTATTCATAACCAGTGATCCGAATCCGCCATTTTTGTCATTTTACGCGGATCAAATAAAAACTATTCCACTATAAAATAAGTAGAAAGTAGAAACACAGGTATATTCTTATTTATTTTATTATATTAATAGAATGAAATAAATCATATCGACAGAGTTTCGAGGAATTCTCTCCAGCTATTCGTTGCTCACTATCACATTCCGATAAAACATATTGAAAACAATTTGGAATGGAATTTTATCGACAGCTCTCGGCCCCGAGTCTGTTACAGAAAATTCTCCTAAAACTATCTTCGTATATGTCCTTGGCTGTCACAGCCATTATGTAGGTGTTATATAGATCAATTGCTACATTTATTATTCGTTTTGTAGCTTTCACAGGTGCTTTCGACATAATTTTATTGTTTCTTGCTACGTAACGTGAGAAGTGAAACAATTTGATTCTTAATAAGTACTTATGTCATCTTGGCTGATTTTGGTCATTTCTAATTAAATGAATGCGTCAAAAAATTTAACATATGTGTCAATCCAGGTCTTACTGGTCAGTTTCAATCCCGAATTGCGCAAATTATTATAGAGTTTTGAAATTGTTTTTATGGTACCTAATTGTGGCAAAAGTCTACAATTTTATTAGGTACATGGAACCTAAACCACAAAGTATTGTAACTCTCCATAATCCTAGAGAGTCTAGATAAATGAATGCGTCAAAAATATCATACAGATGACACCGGCTGTTCTTAAGGATTGCGTTTATTATGATTACGAAGAATCTGCTGGAAATGAGAGTATTATGACCAACTTGTTCATTAACTAAGCTCGTTCTGGCAACACGCCCAAATTATTTGGTCACAAATAAATAAGACGACATTGGGCAAATGAAAAGGGAATTCGGAACTAATTTATTGTTTGTGACAATGTATTAATATTCGATTATGACAAACCCTCAGCAGTTCGAACTTTAAACATATTTTTGTTATTTTATCCACTTAATAAGGAAGACACGGATACTCCAGCTTTTGACTTAAAAAGAAACCTTAAAAGCTCAGGTAGATAAATTTAATATTC